GGCTAAACGCTCGTCACATGATTTAAAAAGTCAAGATTTCCCCTCATTGGGGCGGGGGGGGGGAGATGAAGGACAGAAGGTGAAGACCCCAAGCAGAGGGAAAGGGTGAAGGGTTGACAGTCATAAGGGCTGAGAAAATGGGTTGAGGCTTCCGTAGCTGGGTGGGGGGGGCCAATGGGGGTCTTCTCCTGGGACCAAGATTTTGATTTAATCCCAAGGCTCTCTGTTGAGATCCAACCAGGGATGGTATCCAGCCGGTTTGCACTGGTTCGAGTGAACCAGATGTTAATTTTACATCCAGTTTGGCGAACCAATCGTTCCAATGACTGGCTGGCCCCTCCCCTCCCCTCCCCTCCGAGGAGTCCCCTTGTGGCCTGTTCTGGGGGCCCTCCACAGCCCGTTTTCACTCCCAGGATGGTGCAGGAGGCCGACTAGGCCACGCCCACCATGGCCACGCCCACTGTGCCACCGGGCATAAACCACCCACCCCCCCAAACAAAGAGGCCTGGCCCTATGGTCAAATAGCAGTCAGGAGCCGTTCAAATGAGTATAAAAATGTATTGCAAGCTTAACCTCTCTGCAAGAATCTGGCCAACTCCCAGTCAAGGGAAACGAGCGGGAGATAAGACTAGAATGAATTCAAGGTAGGCTGGACTGAGATCTCTTGTGTGCATGAAGAGACTGGAGACTGATGACGCGTTTGATTCTTCCTCCCTCCTTCCTCTTTCTGTTGTATTCTGCAGAAATATGTTCCCTTCCAACCTGGTGGAGGCTTCCTTCCAGCAGGTGAGCTCCTGGCCCAGGCCGGCCTCTCTCCACTCCGGGGGCTCCGCTGCTACTCCCTTAGTCTTTGGGGGAGGGGATACTGTGACCTGGACTCCACCCCAGTCCCTGAATTTGAGTAACCCCTTTTGGGCTGGTTTGAGTTTCCCGCCACAAAAAGAGTCAGACGCACCAGGGAGGAGCCAATCGCCTATAGAATTGTGGATCGAAGGGGGCCCTAGGGGTCATCTAGACCATCACCACCCTCAGTGTGCCTCTTTCTCACAGGTGCCTCCATCAGAATATGTTTGATACGATATGTTTGAACATAATGAGGGGAGCCCAACATTCCCTCCCTCCCTCCCCTCCTCCTCCCTCTCTCTCTTCTTTCTCTATCATTGGCCCTGATAAAAGGGCAAGGGAGGGGGGAGGAGGGGGCACCCTGGACCCTTTTGGCCTAAGCCTGCAAGCCTCAGAGAAGATTCCCACCCTGCCATTTCTCAGCCCATCTTCCCGCTTGCTTTGCCTTCCAGTATCGGAGTGTTCTTGTCCCCGTGGTGAAATCCCCCGGGATCCCGAAGAAGGCCAGCTCGTCTTTCAGCTTCATTTACTTGGTGCCTGATCCCGGGAACCCAGAGATCCAGCGTCCTGTCCTGCTGGAGATCACTCCCTCCCCGGAAATGATCTACGAGGCCCTCCCTGGGAGCAACAACGAAATGAACGTCTTGGGCATCGTCCTCTTCTCGGCCACGGTCGGTACGTGATCACTGCTGGGGCAGGGCAGCCCGTCCCCCCGTCTCTGGGGTCCCTTGGGGTGAGAATGAGGGCTGCCCCCTTCTTTTATCCCCCTCCCCCAAAAGAGGGACCGCGTGCGCCGTCTCTTGATACTAAATACAAGAGACTCCCCAAGAGTCCGTGAATTCAACGTACATCGGTTAATATATAAGATGAGATGTCGGTCTCCTCCACCCCCAGGTGAAGCAACCTCCAAGCTGGTGGGGATTATGGGTGCTGAAGTCCCTGTCATCCCTGTCCCAGCTTGGGCATTTAGGAAAGAAAGACTATTTGTCTTCCGTTTGTAGAGAAAGGGGATGCTTTCCCCAAGGTCAAGTGGTTTCATCACGAGCAAAGCCAGATCTGAATATTCCCGCGTAAACCCAGAAATTTTCCCTTCTCCCAGGTCCTCCCCTCTTGGTCACCTGGCCCGTGTCCAGTAGTATGCAAATCGGGTGTTTTGGTAACAGTCTTAAAGTTTGGTGCCCCTTTAGTGGGTCCCCAAGATGCTTTTTTCAGGGGGCAACAGGATTTCCTTGTTTTTGCTTCGAAGACGTTTCACTTCTTTGTTTTTTCTTTTGAAGACATTTCGCTTCTCCTCCAAGAAGCTTCTTCAGCTCTGACTGGATGGTGGGGAAGGGAAGGATTTGTATCCCTTGCAGACAAAGTTGGCCCTTTGCATCCTTTCAAAGGGTCGTTGAGGCCACTTGGAGTTGTTTTTTAATCTCTGTCCTCAGGGTCACCTGAGTGGTGCAAATGGGGGCGGAGCCTTCTTGGAGCTGCTGAAATGACCCTCCCTCCACAGAGGGAGGAGGGATACAATATCCTCTACCTCCAGTCTACAACCGGGTCCTTTCAGCAGTTCCAAGAAGGCTCCGCCCCCATTTGCACCATTCAGGTGATCCTGAGGCTATAGAGAAACCTCCAAGTGGCCTCAACGACTCTCTAAAAAGGATGCAAATGACCAACTTTGTCTGCCAAGAGTATCAACCCCTCCCTTCCCCACCATCCAGTCAGAGCTGAAGAAGCTTCTTAGAGGAGAAGCGAAACCTCTTCCAAGAAAAAAAAAACACGAATGTCCAGTCGCCTCCTGGAAAAAGTGCCTTTGGGACAACCAGGAGCTGGGATGAGGGAGAATCTCCACAGACACTCTTTGGTGGGGGTTTGCTGCCCCTCGTACCCTTGGTCTCCAATGGGCACCCAGTCTGGCTCCTGTCATTCCCCCTCCCTGATCCGCTCCCCCTCGCCCCCTTTTTATGGCAGGATGCCACCAAAGCGAACGGGGTTGGGGATCGTGGCGCATCTGCCGGTGCAACCCTTCTGGAGTCCAGTGGGCTTGGCAGGGAGGTTGACGTGCCCAAGGAAGGTCATTTTCAAGTCACCTCCCAGTTCTGTCCTGCGTGGCTGGCTCTTCCCGTGTGGGAGCTCAACAATGGAGGGAGGGGCCCCTTGGGTGGCCTTTAACTCTGCTAGGCTTCGCGATGTTTTTGTCGCTGTGGGGTGGACAGCAGTAGCGGGTTCCCACCTTGTTCGCTCCTGGTTCGGTGGGTGATCGCATGTGCGTGCGCCTGCCCCTAATGCACCGATCAGCTGAGAGGATGAAGAAATGAAAAGCTAGGCGTGACCCTCCCACCTACCCATTGTGCTTCTTGCCAGGATTCCGGCAGTTACTCCAATTAAATCATGAGCCTCAAGCCACGCTCCCAAAACTGAAAAGGATTTATTAGAAGCTAACATTCCGGCATTAGCCTGGGCACAGCCAACTTTGAGATACGTGATTCACTGTCACCCTTGACCCTGCTTTCCCCCTCACCCCCCCCCCGGGTGTACCATCCAATGAAACACGTCCATAGCCAAGAGTCATCAATCGTGCTCTCCAATTAGATTTTTGCAAGGCAGAAGCTTCGGTCATCTAATCGGTCTTTGAAGAAAATATGAATGGAAGGTACTTACGATTCCACACTGCCGCCTGCTCTTTGAAACTCCCCCCCCCCTCTTTTCTGTTGTCAACTATAGAACGTGTATACAAAATGTTTTATGAGGTGACACTTGTCGCTTCTTTTATCCTCTCAGCTGATCATTGGAGGAACCAGTTCAGTGGGTTTTTTTTTACTACTGGTTCAGCCGAACTGGTAGTGATTTTCACTACTGGTTTGGCCAAACCAGGCTGAACCGGTAGCATACTACCACTGGTGGGTGGGAATTGCCCTCCCTCCTTCTCTCCCTTCCCGTCTGGTTTTTGTCTTCTCCGTTGAGCCACAGCTGGGGGCTCCCCAGGAATGAATGGGGGTCCCCTGTCACGAGGACCTGACCCTGCTTCTCCTTCCAGGCCTCCTCCTGGGGAAGATGGGGGAGCGTGGGGCTCCCCTGGTCAATGTGTGCCAGTGCCTGAACGAGGCCGTGATGAAGATCGTGGCCATGGCGACGTGGTAAGTCCGAGCGCCCCAGGCCAAGACTGGCAGCCAGCTCGAGGGCCCGCCCTGCCAGCCTTTCCAGTCTCCCCCAGTCGTGTTAGGGGTGACAGCCCTGCAGCTGAAAGTGGGGGAAAGGGGTCTCGGGCAGCCTCTTTCATGGGGGGAGGGGGCTACAAGATCCGCCTGTGGAAGCTGTGCACAATGCCAATCCTGAGTGGAGAGGAGGAGGAGGAGGAGGAGGAAGAGAGGAGATGAAAAGAAGGAGGAGGAGGAGGGAGAGGAGAGGAGGAAAGATGGGGATAGGGAGGAGAGGAGGGAAGGGAAGGGAGGAGGAGGAGGAGAAAGTGGAGAAGAAGGTCATCATGGCTCTTGGTCGGGACTGCTGGTGGGGCCAAGGAGCCCACGGAGCAGTCTGGATAGTCAGAAGGAATGTCCGGGTGGGGGAGGGGCAAATCCTTTGCAGACCCTCCCAAGAAAAGGTGGGGGGGATCAGCCCTTGTCCTGGGGGGTCCCAGGTTGGCCACTGTGGAGAAGATGGAGCTGCTCTGAGGTCTCTCGCTGGCCGTCCGGAGCCTCTGGCAACCTCAGGGGCACCTGCCTGCCTGCCTCTCCCTCCCCCCAGCCCCTTGTCAAGATCCGCCCTCTGCTCCCACCCACCCTTGTCCAGCGGAGGGGGTGGGAGGAACCTCCGGGGTCTGATCCTGCCGCCTCCTGTGTAGGTACTTCCCTTTCGGCATCGTCTTCTTGATCGCCGGGAAGATCCTGGAGATGGAGAACCCAGCGCTGACGGGGAAGAAGCTGGGCCTCTACGCCATGACGGTGGTGACCGGGCTGGCCATCCACGCCCTTTGCTTCCTGCCCCTCCTCTTCCTCCTCCTGACCCGGAAGAACCCCTTCCCCTTCATCCGGGGGATCCTCCAAGCCCTGCTCATCGCCCTGGCCACCTCGTCCAGGTAGGGACCCCCGCAGGGACCGCCAGCCCGGGGGGGGGGGGCTGTGGGTGGGGCCTCTTTTGACTTCCGCTTCCCATGGGGCACAGCGGGCAGGATGCCCATTTGAAGGACCCACCGGCCTGGGAAGGCTCTGACGTCTCCAAGGGCCGCCAATGGAGAGACCCGGCATGACTACTCAACTCATCCCGATCCCCACAGGTGCTTCTTCAAGAGGCCGATGGACTTCTTTCTTTTTTCTTTTGAAGACGTTTCGCTTCTCCTCCCAGAAGCTTCTTCAGCTCTGACCGGATGGTGGGGAAGGGAAGGGACTGATACCCCTTGCAGACAAAGCTGGTCATTTGCATCCTTTTTGTGAGTCATTGAGGCCGCTTGGAGGTCTTTATCTGTGTCCTCAGGGTCGCCTCAGTAGTGCAAATGGTCCCTGCATTTTTTTTCTTGGATTTCCAGAATAATTAAAGACTACAAGAACCATTTGCACTACTCAGGTGACCCTGAGGACACAGACAAACCTCCAAGTGGCCTCAATGATTCGCTAAAGGGATGCAAATGACCGGCTGCCTGTAAGGAGTCTAAATCCTTCCCTTCCCCACCATCCAGTCAGAGCTAAAGAAGCTTCTTGGAGGAGAAGTGAAACGTCTTCAAGGAAAAACAAAGGAAGTCCAGTTGCCTCTTGAAAAAAGCCCCTTTGGGACACCCCTGGGATGGAGGACGGAGAGTCTCCACAGACCTCCATCCCCGTGTCAATCATTCAAGGAAGCTCCCCCGTCCAGAGGCAGTTTACCTGTCAAAGCCAGATCCTGAGGACCAATGGGAAGGGAGCAGCTTTCCTGGGAATATCTCAGCAACACGTCAAGAGGAGGAGGAGGAAGCAAGTTGGGTCCCACTGGTCTCCTCCAGCGGAGTTGGAAGGGGCCTTGGAGGTCTTCTAGTCCAGCCCCTGCTCAAGCAACAGACCCTCTACCCTTCCAGACAGGTAGCCATCCAGTCTCTTCTTAGAAACCTCCAGTGATGGAGCAGCCACAACTTCTGGAGGGAAGCAGTTCCACTGGTTAATTGTTCTCCTGGTTAGGAAGACTCCCCATCATCCAGGCCAGGGTTGCCCCCAAAGGTGCTTCTTCAGGAGGCAGCTGGGCTGTCTTTTTCTTTTGAAGAGGTTTCGCTTCTCACCCGAGAAGCTTCTTCAGCTCTGACTGGATGGTGGGACTGATTTCTGTTCCTTGCAGACAAAGCTGGTCATTTGCATCCTTTTAGAGCCGAGGTCTCCCAACTTGGCAAGGTTAAGACTCGTGGACTTCAACCCCCAGAATTCTCCAGCCAAGTTGGGAGTTGAAGTCCACGAGTCTTAAAGTTGCCAAGTTTGGAGACCTCCGTTTTAAAGTCCTTGAGGCTGCTTGGAGGTTTTTATCTGTGCCTTCAGGGTCACCTGAGACATGCAAATGGTTCCTGTAGTCTGCAATTTTCTCTCTCTCTCTCTCTGGGAATCCCTTCCTCCTCCCACACCATTCAAAGGGGGTTCGTCCCAAATTATATAGCTAAAAGTCTGTAGAGATTCTCAGTCATCCATGTCCCAGTTGTCCCAAAGGAGGCAACTGGACTTTCTTGTTTTTTCCTTGTCAGGAAGTTTCTCCTGAGTTAACAGATAACAGACAATCCGAGTTGGAAGGGACCTTGTAGGTCATCTAGTCCAACCCCACACCCAAGCAGGAGACCCTACACCATTTCTGACAGATGGCAGTCCAGTCTCTTCTTGAAAGCCTCCAGGGATGAAGCTCCCACAACTTCCAAGGGAAACTTCTCTTCCATGGGTTGATTGTTCTCACTGTCAGAAAGTTTCTCCTTGTTTCCAGGTTGAATCTCTCCTTGTTCAGTTTCCATCCATTATTCTTTGTCTGGCCTTTGGGGGCTTTGGAGAATAGCTTGACCCCCCTCCTCCTCTCTGGGGCAGCCCCTCCTCAAATACTGGAAGGCTGCTCTCCTGTCTCCCCTGGTCCTTCTCTTCCCGAGACTAGCCAAGCCCAGTTCCTGCAGCCGTTCATCGTATGTTTCAGCTTCCAGCCCCCTCATCATCCTGGTTGCTCTTTTCTGCACTTTTTCTAGAGTCTCAACCTCTTTTTTATAATGTGGTGAATAAAACTGGATGCACTACTCTAGGTGTGGTCTTACTAAGGCTTTATAGAGTGGCTCCTATTTAGCTGGTTGTCCACTAAGACTCCAAGATCCCTCTCCCAGTTCCTGCTATTGAGCCTGGTTTCACCCAGTCTATATGTGTACTTTTGGTTTTTCTTGCCTAAGTGTAGGACTTTACTTTTCTCTACACTGAATTTCATTTTATTAGATATGGCCCAGTGTTCTAGTCTGTCAAGATCCATCTGGATCTTGAGCCTATCTTCTTGGGAGTTAGCTATTCCTGCCAGCTTAGTATCATCTGCAAATTTGGTCAGTTCCCCTTCTATTCCCTCATCTAAGTCATTAATGAAGATATTGAGGAGTCCTGGGCCTAAGACGGAACCTTGTGGCACCCCATTGCTTACTTCCCTCCATGGAGACTTAGCCCCATTAAGGGCTACTCGTTGAGTACGGTTTGCCAGCCAGTTGCAAGTCCATCTGGTGGTGGTGCTATCTATTCCACTTTTTTCTAGCTTACTAAGAAGTAGGTTGTGGTCTACTTTGTCGAATGCCTTGCTGAAATCTAAAGATATTATGTCCACAGTATTTTTCTAGTCTACTAACTTAGTCACTGTGTTGAAGAATGAAATAAGATTGGTTTGCTTCTCTCCTTGATTAGTTTCCACCCGTTGCTTCTTGTCCTGCTCTCAGGTGCTTTGGAGAATAGCTTGGCCCCGCTTGTCAGCCTTCCAGCAACCCTCCACTCTGACCAATAACTCAGACATCTTCTCAAAAGTTTATTTAGATAGTAAACTGGCACATCTGAGGAATCCCGAATCTGAAAGTTCCGGGTTTCCTTGCACTAAGTAAAAACTACAAATCCTTTCCCTGCACCCATCATTGCATCACATGCCCCAATCACCATCTGCCTCAACTTGAGACATCCCCTCACTTCTTCACAACACAACCTGACCTTGAATCAGAAAAAGAATTTATGTCTAACCACATACGCTCCAAGAAATTCCCCCCTCCCATTTTTTTCCCAGGCTCAAAATGTGGCAGGATGGGAGCATCTGGTCCCAAAGCTGGTACCCCTCTTCTTAGGTACAGCCCCTCCGATACTGGAAGGCTCCCCTCATGTCACCCCTGGTCCTTCTTTTCATTAACCCCTTCCTTGCAGAGGAATTTCAAGTGGGGGGAGGACGGGAATCTTTTGGCTTTCCACATTGTGCCCATGGACTCCCCCATGGCTTATTCCCACGTCTTCTAGTCACCCGAACACCGTAGGAAGCACCAGGGTGTTTTGTGTCTTGAGGACGGAGGGTGGATACGCAGAGACGTTTCCTGGGCCGCCTTCGGTCTGTGCAGTTGTGCTGATGACACGGCCTGTTCCCCTCCCTGGTTGTTCCCCTTGTGCATCCCACACCCTCTCTCTCCATTCTGGGGGTGAGTGGGTGATGGGGCTTCCCCTAACAAGCGTCCCCTTCTCTCTCTCCCAGCTCGGCCACACTGCCCATCACCCTGCGGTGTCTCCTGGAGAACAACCGGATCGACAAGCGGATCGTCCGGTTCATCCTCCCAGTCGGAGCGACCATCAACATGGACGGGACGGCACTCTATGAGGCGGTGGCTGCCATCTTCATCGCCCAGGTGAACGAGTATGACCTCGACCTGGGGCAGCTCATCACCATCAGGTAAGGACCGTCTTCTCCTGTGCCCAGCAGGCAGCTCAGCCCTTCGAGTGCTCAGACGCTGAATTTCAAAGCTGACCGGCGTCCCCCCTTGAAAACTCCTCCTCCTAAAGAAAAAGAAAAAAAACATATACAGGAGTTAATACATTGTCCTTAACCCCCTCTCCCCGCCCCACGAGGACCCTTCGGTTTGTGGGGAAAATCCTCATGGAATTGGTTAACCAATTGATCAGCATGAACATCCCAACTCTTTACCCAACTAGCATCTGAGAGGGGATATCCTGTCCATAAGACCAAATATAGCAATCGGCCATGATGTAATTTAGAATCGAGAATTTTTTGAATCTCATCATGTGTTTCCCCCTATACCATTAATGGTTTAGTGGGAGCGATTGGCAGTGGTCTTATCATTGATGCAGTAGCTGGTTTTAGTAAACTACAATGGAACACAGGTTGAATTTTCCCCAATAGTCGAGGAAGACTTAATTGGACAGTGGCCGGATTGATTATTTTTGAAATTGGAAACGGACCCAAGAATGTTGGACCCAGCTTCTTATTGGGCAGTTTCAACCTAAGATACTTGGTCGACAAATATACTTTGTCCCCTACTTTAAAAGGCGGTTGAAGGGATCTACGTTTATCCGCCTGTTTTTTATAATTTTTTGCAGCTTCGTTCAAAGCTTTTTTTGTATCTTCCCACCCTTTCTTTAATGAGTTCATCCATTCTGTTAGGAACATGGATGTGGGAGGTTGTCTAGGTAACTCTGGCATCGGGACAAAATCCATTCCAGTGTTGATTTGGAATGGAGTCAATCCCATGCTGCTATGTACTGCATTATTGTAAGCAACCTCCGCAAAAGGTAATAACTCAGCCCAATTTTCTTGTTGATAATTTACATAGCATCTAATGTATTGTTCAATCATGGCGTTAGCCCTCTCCACTGCTCCGTTACAAGCAGGATGGAAAGCTGAGGATAACCCTTGGGAGGAACCAATGGATTTCAGAAATTCCCTCCAAAATTTTGCGGTAAATTGTACCCCTCTGTCTGATATTACTCTATGAGGAATTCCCTGTAGTCTATAGATATGTTTCACGAACAGCCTTGCCAGTTTTATTGCAGATGGAAGTCCTTTGCAGGCTATAAAATGGGCCTGTTTAGAGAATAAGTCAATTATAGTCCAAATGATCGTATTCCCTTCATTCTTAGGTAGTTCAACAATAAAGTCCATTGTGATTTTTTCCCAAGGTTGGGTTGGTTCAGAGACTTGTTGCAGGAGGCCAGGGGGTTTTCCAGTTCTGTGTTTCATTGTGGCACAAATTGAACAAATTTTTACATAGTCCTTGACATCAGATTTCATTTTTGGCCACCAGAACTGTCTTCTCAGTAAATGTAGGGTTTTTAGGAATCCGAAGTGGCCTCCCAACCATGAGTGGTGGCTATGCTTTAGTACCAGTAGTCTTAGAGTTGTGGGTACATAAAGCTTAGTCCCTTTCCAAGCTAGTCCATCATTCATTGTCAACTCGGTTTGATGGTCCAGGAACCAAGGATCGGTCAATAGGGGCGTTTTCAATTCCGCAGTCAGCTTATCTTCCAGGCGTTTGGGGTTGCAGTTAGCTTGGGTTCGAGTGGTCACTTGGCCTGCCGATTGAGCATCTGAAATTAAGGCTTGTACTATTTCCTCTCGGTGGCTGTCAAACTGAGGTTTTCTGGACAGAGCGTCCGCCACTACGTTTTTCCCTCCGGGGATATATTTAATGTTGAAATTGAATCACTTGAAATATTGGGCCCAGCGAACTTGTTTGGGCGATAATCTCCTAGGGGTCTTTAGAGCCTCAAGGTTCTCATGATCAGTCCATAACTCAAAGGCCTCTGGCACCCCTTCTAGAAAATGCCTCCAAGTCAACAAAGCTCATCGTAGGTGAATGCTTCTTTCTCCCAGACTGCCCACCTTCACTCTGTGTCTGTCAGCTTTTTGGACACATAAGCGCATGGCATCAGTCGGCCTTGAGAGTCTTTTTGCAGTAAAATGGCTGCCACCGCTACATCACTTGCATCCGTTTGGAAAATAAAAGGCTTGATCGTGTCTGGATGTTGGAGGATGGGCTCAGCTGCGAAGAGGCATTTTAAGGTCTCGAAAGCTTTCTGACAGTCCATAGTCCAAGCCAGGGGTTGACTTGGCTTTGGTTTGGTGGGTGACAGGCCCATTTTTAATAGCTCTGTCAACAGGAGGGCAACTTCAGCAAAGGACGGAATGAATTGTCTATAGACGTTGGCAAACCCCAAGAAACTTTAAAATTGTTTTCGGGTTCTGGGGGGTTGCCAGTCCAGCACTGCTTTCACCTTTCTGGGGTCCATTTCAATCCCCAGGTTGGATATTCGCTAGCCTAAATAGTCCAGCGACTCTTTGTGGAATTTGCATTTTGAGAGTTTCATATATAATTTGGCAGCTAGAAGTTTTTCTAGAACCTTTCGGACCAATTGAACATCTTCTTCCATGGTTTCACTGAAGATAAGGATGTCACCAGGTACACGAGGACCCCTGGTAAAGGTGCAGGTGTAGCACCTCATTGATGAGCTGCATGAACACTGCAGGAGCCCCCTGAAGTCCGAAAGGCATGACTTTGAATTGGAAGCTACCCAGAGGGCAGTTATAAGCAGTTTTCCACTCATCTCTCTCTTTGATGCGGACCCGGTAGTAAGTTTCCCTGAGATCTAGCTTGGTGAATACTTTGCCCTTCGACAGGTGGTTCAATAAGTCCTTCATAAGAGGGAGAGGATACATGTTTTTGACGCATACGGCGTTCATGCCTCTAAAGTCAACACACAATCTCAACCCGCCATCTTTCTCCTTGAACAACACGGGGGCAGCTAATCTTAATTTGGCAGGCTCAATAAAACCTCATTCCAAATTGCTGTCGATGTATTTCCTTAATTCAGTTATTTCAGCAGGCACCATGGAATACATCTGTGGTTTTGGTAATTTCGGCCCCGGCTCTAATTCTATGGCGCAATTAGTGGCTCAATGGGGAGGTAAGATATTACACTCTTCTTCACTGAATGCTTCAGCCAAGTCTTTGTATTGGTCAGGTACCTGGGGATTATCTGGGAGAAGGTGGGATGCCATGGATGCTGGCTCAGGCTCTGGGTTCAAGCTGACTAGTGGCTTTGTAGTGGGTGGAAGGGGGGGCAATGGGCCCAGTCCAGTGAGGAATTTTCTGAATCTATCCTCCCATTTGATCATTGGGGCCCATTTGTCTAACCAAGCAAGTCCCAGTATGATTGATTCTGACATCTTGGGGCCCACTATGAAGCGTATGAGTTCACGGTGGGGCCCTAATTCCATCTTGATCAATTCTGTCATTTGAGTGGCTGCCCCCCCCCCCCAAATTAAGGTTCCATCCACTTACTCAAATCTGATTGGGCATTTTAGCGGGTTAGTCTTTATGCCCAATTGCTCAACGATAAGGAGTCCAATAAGACATCTAGAACACCCAGTATCAATGACGGCTTCTAACTCCCTGGCCTCCCCCATGTTTGGTACCACTAATTTGACCTTAACTATAAAAGGTATGATGGGATCACTCACCATTGGGTCATCTTCTCAGGTCGGGTTCTCGGGGACGTGGTGTTGGTCTGGTGGTCCGTTGCTCCCATCTGCACAGAGGGGGCTTTCCCAGCTGTGTTTGGTGAACCCGCCCCTGCCCGGAGGTCTTGCTTGATTCTTCCCACCCTTAACAGCTGTATTAGGCTTCGACTGTGGAGCTTGTGGTACAGGAGCAAGGGCCAGACAGTCTGCTGCCCTATGACTGGCTTGGCCATATCGGTAACATTTAAGCACCCTGGTGAGTCAGATACAAGCAGTTTTGGCTGGTCCAGTCGGCAGTCCCCTCGCCACAATTCTCTTAGTTGGGGCTGCCAGAAGGGGTTTCCTGTGTGGGTTGATGCTGCGATCTAAGCTGAACAATGTGACATACCACGATTGTAAGGTCTCTGGGATTCCCCTAATTTCACAGGCCTTCTTTACTACTGGATCAATGGCTTTTTTAAAAATAGTGTAAATTCTTTCAGGCCAATCCATGAGGTGGCTTGCAACCCTTCTAAAGTCCCAAATGGATTCTGACAAGGGTCGCTTACCCTGCTTCATTTCCATTAACCTCTCTTCATTCTTTGCTACCCTGTCTGGATTTTCAAATCTGAGTCTTAATAATTGAATAAATCTGTTCACATTGTGTAATTCAGGGGCTTGTTCATTGTGTAGTTGGGCCACCCAGTCTGAAACATCCCCTTCATTCATCCCATTTGTTATGGCCATAACATGCTCTGTGGCGAATTGATCTCCAAATTGTTCTATATGGGATTGGATTTGAGTGAGGAAATAATTGAAATGGTCATGGTGGCTATCGAATATGGCCCCAAAGGGTATTTGTTCTGGCCTGGGTCGTGGTTGCGGAGGTGGCACATGCCAGGCCCCTGCAGGTTGTACCGGAATGGAAGGAACAGGCCGGGTGGTGTACATAGGCTGGGTAGGTCCCCTGAATCCTGGCTGGGTGGTGCCTCTCTGGAATAGGGGTCCCTGTGGCCTCGCTGTCAGTTGGGGCTGCAATTGTGGTTGCCAGAAGGAAGATGGGGGTGGCTGGTTCCCTGGTCGGGTGGAGGGGAAGTGGCTGCTGTCTGCTGTCTGGGCAACCCCCCTTCAGACCAGGGTTGTGTTGGTGCTGGCTGCCATTGGCACTGAATCCACCCCTGGCCTGGATAAAATCCCCACCCTGGAGGGATACTCTCTGCAGGGGGCAAAATTTCTGGAAAATGAGGGGATTGCCTGAGGGGCTGCAACATATCTCTGTCAGTTGATGCTTCTTTCTGGCCTCCTCCAACTGGCATCTGTATAGTCTCCTCGTCCCTCACGATACTTGGGTAAGTGAACATGGGTGGTCTCAAGCTTCCACCCGTCCAAACAGACTGTGAGACCAAGCCTGTCACCTTTGAATTCTGGAACTGTTG